GAAAAAGATATCTCAAACGTGGTGGTCCAGTGTAGGTAGTATTCTACAATAAGCTGTCGTGGTTTGTGTCTGAACTACATGAAAAAGATATCTCAAACATGGTGGTCCAGTGTAGGTAGTATTCTACAATAAACTGTCGTGGTTTGTGTCTGAACTACCTGAAAAAGATATCTCAAACAGTCCAGTGTAGGTAGTATCTACGATAAAATAATGCGGTTAGTGTGCGAACTAGCTGAAGAAGATTAAACGACTTCGATACTGCAAGGTAAAAAATCAATCTATCTATCTAGGGTATGGCCACTTTGATCTTTTTCAGACAGATGTTCACGGAATACTAAACAATTTTTAAAACGTACTCTGTCGATATTTTCACAAGAAGCTCCGTGGTCCAACAGCAGCTTGACCATTTCAAGGTTTTTCGACTTGACGGCAATGTGGAGAGCTGTCTCTCTTGACTACAAGAAATAAAATAGGAACATTTTTTATCAATATTTATAGTTGTTTATTCCATTATTGATCCAGTGTCACTACATGAGCTAGGAAACCACTAAACTAACTTTATTGATGCTGAATAAAATACAAAACAATGGAAACTCCGTTTATACTGAATAGTTCTATCAGTTCTAAACTGTTCTTCCTAAAGGTCACATACCTGTGTTTTGGCATCAACAGCAGCACCATTGCGCAACAACAGACGAACGATGTTAATATTTCGTATTCGACATGCGATGTGAAGAACCGTCTCCCCTCTCTAGACAATTACACAGACAAGAAATTTTGCATAAGCTCCGAACATAATCCTGCATTACATAAATTTTAGCTTTAATTTTCTCGGCCTAGACAACGTTGATTTTTAAAATTACCTCGGGAATGAACTTATGAGATGGATCGTTTTTTAAACCATTTAAAACACTCGCAGTCCATGCCTTGTGAATTCAATTCAATTCAATTTATTTTGCACAAATGTTACCATAGTACATTGGATTTATTTTAAACTTGAGATTTAGTTATTTTACAAATTATAGGCAAGTTACTATATTAAAGGAGTGTGCACAGTAGCCAAAGTAGCGTTAGCTTTCGAGTTGGCTACTGTCTACATAATAGGAAAGAAATAATAGGAAAGAATAAGTTCAGTACATATTATATAATACCTTATTGAATTCTGATCGTTTAATTGGCTGTTTATGGTCACGTGATATTGAATAGAAAATGCCATTTCCCAAGAGTGCAATGGAATGCGTTCCATTGCACTCTTGCGAGTGCAATTGTACTATACGTTTTGTTCCATTGCACTGTTTGTGTTTTCGATAAATCGCATCCGTCAAAATGCTTCTCGTACGGTGATCGCAGTTTATTTTAACCCGATATTCGAAACTCAGTAAATGGGATTTAATGCAAATACGACTCGTCAAAATGGCGAAAGCTTACAG